CAAAAAAGAATAAATATTAGAAAAAATTAAAAAAAAAAAAGAAAATAGGAACAAAAACATTCATAGAAGTGCTCTTCATGATAGTAAAATCCTAGAAACAACCCAAATGTCCAGTGACAGAAGAATGAAGACCTGTGGTATAGTCCTACCATAGAATATTACACAGACCTCAAGACGAACCACAGCAATACATAATAGGAACCTTACAATATAATACTATGTAAAAATAATAAGCTGCCAAAAATTATATATAGCAGTATTTCTTTATAATAAGTTAAAAAAAAACCTAACATTAAAAAAAAAAGTTTTAGGAATACAAGTATTGCCCGATTTTCAAAAGTTCATGTTAAAAAAAAAAAGTTCATGTTATACCACTTCACTTTTATGAAAGACCTACATTAGGACCTATTTTCAATAACAGAAAAAAATCTGAAGATTTTCACTTTTATGAAAAAAGGAAAAAAGAGAGTTCAGCGTTTGTTTTGCAGTAAGCCATTACAGAGGCAACACACACCCAGAGCAACAAGAGTGGCCCCACCAAGAAGCTCAGTTCCTGGGAACGACACTCAGCTTCTCTGCACCAAACCTCCACAGGTTTGAACTGTGTCTGAGCATTTGTGCTTTATCTCTATTTTGTGCGTCCCTTAGCAAGATGTCTCCTGGGGTATCAGAAAAGCCTGAGTGTGAGTCTTATTTTCTGAGTCTGGGAATGCTCAAAATGTTTTCCATATAAATTAATGGTAATTGCTTCTTTGCTTTACACCATTTCATGTTACAGGTTTCATAGGAATGCTCTACTTTCAGATAGTGGGGGAAATCTGTACGTATAGTGAAGATAAATATATAAAAAGGATAAAAGAATGACAGAATGATGGGAGGGGAGGGGAGTGGGATGGGGATGGACCACAGATTTCAGTTATTGCCAAGGTCTTCACTTTCGTGTGATGAGTTTTGAGGACAGTGTTCTAAATAAATAAATGTGTCTTGTGCATGAAGAAATGAAAAGAATGTGTCATGAACCAAAGTCATGATTGATCTAACTCTGTGCATCTGATATCTTTAAAGGAAAAGGGGAGAAATTATGCTTACCTTCTCCAGACAGACTTACTTGTTTGGGAGCAATGGGGAAAAGATTCTTCTACCTCAATCCTCTCTATGGGGTCTTTTCTCCAGAGACAGTCTCTAGGTTCTCCTCCTGCAGAAGTGAGCCGGTGGGGCAGCAGGGAGGGGAGTAATCCAGGGTTTGGCTACTTCAGGAAAAGGGTCCCGGAATTGGTGGGAAAATGGACCATTCCCAAGGCTGGAGTAGGAACCAAGAGATGTGGGGCAGCTTCCATTCCTATCCAGCTTCCCCCACTCCCCAGTCTAAGAACTGCAGGTGAGTAGGCTTCCACTCATTTCCTGTTCTGCTTTGTCAAAGACCTCAGGGTGGGGTTGGGAGGTGGGGAGGAGCCTCAGAATTGAGTCCTGAGAGATGAGGCTGTGGCCACATGGTAGAGAGTTGTAAATATTCTGGATACTGGCGAGCTGGGACCATCAGTGGTCAAACCCAGCATCTTTGAAGTTCAGCTTGGAACTAGGGGGCTGCTGAATCAAAACTTCTTACATATCCCTTTCCTTTCAGCCTGGCCCAGAACACTCCTGGGCCATTCTCAGCACTTTTTGTAATTCCTTTGCCTGCTTTCCCTGCTCATCCCTTCTTCATCCAGGCTGTAGTTCCAATCCTGTACCCTCACCTGAACTTCTACAGTCCCTAAGATAAGGCCCTATTTTGTGAAATAAAGGTTAGGGAAGGCCCTAGGGGAACAGTTTAAGAGCTTTTCACTTTATGGGAAGGGATCTGGGGTTAGATGGAACCAGACAGGGCTGGCTGGGCTGGAATCTTACCTTTGGGGAAGGGGTTAGAGGTCAGGCTGGACTGGGCTAAGAGTATAAAAGAGGTACTGGAGATTGTGCTGGAACTTCTAACAAAGGGGCTGGAGGTCAGGTTGGATTGAGTTAGAATAGGAAACATGGGGAGGAAGCTGGGCTCAGGCTGAGCTAGGGGGTCTCAGGGTTGAGGGCCTGTGTCTGCATTGGGGCTGGCTGGAGTACACAGTTGGGGTGAAACAAATTTTTCAGGATCATGCTGGGACCTGAGGCTGGGCCTTAAAGGGCCTTTTCCTTCCCCAACCCTAGCAATTCCTCCAGACCAAGGTCTTCCCCAGAGGGGCTGCTGAGGCAAACAGGGAGGAGCCAGATCTGGGGCTCCAGAGGAAGTCGCTGGCCACTATGCTTCCTGAGTTTAAAAAGTGGGTTCCCTGTCTCTCTGACTCACTCCCTTCCCCCAAGCAGGGCAGAGTCCAGGCCTGACAATCTACCTTTTCACTAGAACACTGCCTCTTCCAAAACACAAACACCCACACACCCACACACGCCACACATACAGGATATGAACCTTGTCACACAATTCCTGGCCCAGCAACCCCATAACCCAACACAATACCGCCAAGCCACACATTCAACAACATATTCTTATTTATGTACTTGTAGCCTCTCATTCACACCCAGTAGTCACGCCTTTCTGCTTTGTTCAGCACCATCTCTCTAGTACCTAAAGTTTGGCCTTGCACCTAGAGAGGGCTCAATGAACATTAGCTGAATTAATGAATCCACCAAGACACATCCCACAAATGCATAGACAAGCCGACATACATATTCACACATGCAATGCTTCCTTACACACCCATATCCAAGCCCTCTCCCAGCCCAGTCACATACATACCCTGGCACACATTCAGGCAAGAAAGCCAGATGTACACCTAGTTACAAAAGCAGACACACCACAGGTAGGTGTTACCTAGCACTCCCAGGTAAGTTGGTGGTAGCAGCTGGCTGGTCAATGTCCTTCCATCAGGTCAGGCCTGCAGAGGAGTGAAGTGGGCATGTGCACAAATGCAAGCCTTTGGGGTCCTAAGGCAATGGGCAATGAGGAGCTGGGCTGGCAGCAGGGCAGGGCCAAGGTAACCATATGGATTGGAGAGGGGTGGAATGGGCCATGTAGTCCTTTCCTCTGGTTTCTTCCTGCCAGCTGGGGAGGTGAGGGTAGAGGTACACATCTATGAGGACTTGCTTCAAATCCAGAGAATTTAGTGGGGGAATAGTCTGAAAGGCCCGATTCCCCTCCCTGGGATGAAAATGGGAGTCTGGATAGGGGGATTTGGTAGGTGCTAAGATTCCGTCCCCAATCCACAGCAGGGTTTCCCTATCTTGCCAATCTTCTTTAATGGTGGGAGAGGAGGGGACTTGGGGCCGGGGGGAGTAAACACCTGGAAAGGAATCTGGAAAGCACCCTATTCTTCCTTCCACCTAAGGAACTTCAGGCATCCTCCTGTGTCCCCACCCAAAGTCAGCAAGGGTACAATCAATCAAGCTACTCTTACTTCCCCACCCAAGACCTAACACCAGGGAATCCTGGTGGATTCTGTTATCAGCTGGGCTGGGCCCGATAGGAGCAGGAGGCTGGAGGCTGGATAGGGGCAGGAATCTATCAAAAATAGGACCAAATCTCCCAGTCATTCTAACCACCCAAAGCTCCTCAAACCCAAGCGCCCTCCTCCGCAAGGATCCCTCCCCCTCCAAAAGCCTGATCCAAGGCCTTCTGTCCCAGGAACCCTGCCTCAGGGCCACCTGTCTGGCAGCCAGGACAGCTAGGGGCAAGGAACAACAGCCCCAGAGGGTGGAAAAGTCAACTTTTGAGGGAGACAGGGCCAGCCTGGGACAGGAGGAGCAACGGTGCAAGAGTGAGGGGCATTGTGAGATGAGACTGAAGGGGGATCCACAAGCTTAATTCCTACCTCCTTTCCAATGACTGGTCTTAGGGACCAGTCATTGTCCCTAAGGGACTGCATGAAGGAGGGAGAAAAGACTGCCTGGAACTTAGTGGTTATTAGGCAGCAATGACCAACCAAGACACTCTCAAACCAAAAAGTCTCTTTATTGATCGGTACCATACATGACTCAAATGGCCCAAAAAAAAAAAAAAAAAAAAAAAAAAAAGGCATTACATTTGGGGTGGGACATCCATCTTCCCCACCCCACCCCTCAGCTCCTGACACAATACCCTTCCAACAGTGGCAGCTGGAGTTAAGGAAACTGGGTGTGGGGGACCCGAGAATCCAGAAGGAAGAGTGGGGAGAGAGGTGGTGCTAACACTTCTGGAACCGGCCACAGGAAAAGGCAGCGAAGCCACAGAGCTGGGCCCAGACCTACGGGACCCTGCTCCTGGCCTCACCCTGGGCCCAGAGCATCCGTGTGTCCAACTGTGAAATAGAGCTGAGGATCCTGGCTGCTTCCCCACTCCCTTCTATGAGGAAAGGGATGGAAGGGATATTGGAGATGAAGACCTTTACTTCAGCTGGGGGACACAGGTCTATTGCTCCCAGGTGGGCTTAGAGCTGGGCCATCCTCAGTGGCTCCTTCCCCTCTGTGGAGGACAGGGGAGGACCAGATACACAGTTTGAGGAGTTGGGGAAAGAGAGTGCTGGAGAGAGTGGACAAGCCCCTCCCCCTCCATCCCATGCCTGCCCAACTGAGACAAAACAAAAAAACAGCAACAAACAAGGTTGCTCCCTTCCCTCCACACTTCCTAAGGGAGGGAGCCTCCCTTCCCCCCATCCAAGACAGCTGCTCTAGTGGAGGACTTGTAAAGAATATACACACCATGGGGGAGGGGGTTGGGGCTGGGAGGGAGTCACAAGCACTAGGAGGGCAGGCCAGAGTCCTGGAGGATGGGAAGACAGAGACAACAGCAGGGGGTTGTCACAAAGGTGAGGCCATCAACGGCCCCCTACCCCAAGGCATGCCTTCCCCAACTCCAGTCACCCAGAGGAAAAGGGAAGAGAGATGGCAAAGTATGTCCTTGGTCTGAAGCTCTCAAACTGTATAAAATGTTAATGCATACCCCCCCCACACCCCACACTCACCTCCACGTGGGCCCTAAGCCCCGGATTTGCCTGGAGTAGGGAGGTAGCTGGACTTTTAATAAGGGGAAGAGGGGGTACATGTGTGACTTTTTTTTTTAAACTTACATTTTTAATAATATTATTTTTTAAAAAACTTGGGAGCTGGGATAGGTGGCTGCAGGGAGGAGCCAGAGGTTTACCCCTCTACTACCAGCCACCTAGGGGAAGGTTTAGGAAAGGGGCACTCAACCAAGCCCCATAATTTTAAGTCCCTAAGGGCTGTGGAATAGACAACCCCAGGCTTGAAGGGGGTGAAGTCAGGAGGATTGGGAACCCAGAACCTGGGGTGAGGATGGATGCAAATGCCCTGGGGGGTGATCAGGACATTTCTCAGAGGCCCAGGGTCCATGTAGGCATCCACATGAGTACCCCCTTCCCCCAAAAAGGCTCTGCAGAGGCCAGGCCCCGCCCAGGGCCACTGGGGGGCAAATCTTGGCACCTGCCCCCAGCGAGTCCAGTTCCTCCCTGAAGTGGGTGGATGGAGGCTGCCCATTTTAGATGCTCAGTCTCTTCATTCTGTCTTCTGCTCCCTGGGGCTGCGAGGGGTGGGGCAGGCAGGCAGAGCGCTGGGTGGCCATGGAAAGGCCTTTACTGGGAGGCCTGTGACGTGGGGTTCTCCGATTTGCTTTCTTGGCTGGATGGAGGCTTGCTGTTCCAGGGGCTGTTGGCGCCCAGGGCGGGGGAGTTGTTAAAGCTGTCCTCGTCGTCAATGCCGTTGGCCGCGTCAAACTGGGTGTTCTCCAGCCGGGTGATGAGCCTCTCGTCCTCGTCCCCGAACTCCCCGCCCATCAGGGTGGGCTCCCCCACCACCATCACATCCTGAGAGTGGCGGAGGTCCCCAAACATAATCGGGGCAGGGGCTCGCCCGGCCCAGGGCAGCAGATACCCCCAGAGCCCCAATACCCACCCAGGAAACTCAACACCCCCAACCCCTTCTCATACCCAAGTTTAAAACCCCAAATCCTCTGACACCCTCAGCCCCTGGAATCCTTCCCACTGAAGGACTGCAGAGCATCACAGGCTTTGACCCACACGTACTAGATTCTAGAAGTCAATCTACTCCCCTAGCTCCCTAGTTCCTCTCCCCCAAACTTCAGGGGGCTCCTAAACTTCTGTCCACATATAATAGGGAGGGAGCAGATTAAAAGAAAAAAAAAAGAAAAACACCAATGGGGAAAGCGTGTGCACGTACATATGTGTATTCTAGATTCGCACACGTTCAAATTTATGTGTCCCTCTGTCAGTGTGAGTGTGTGGGTCTCTGATGGTATGTGTGCCCCTAAGCTGTCTATCCTGAACACCCAAATGGTCTCATGGCTGTCTCTGCCCCTTTATGTCCTATGTTCTGTCTGAGTCTGTGATCACAACCATGGCATTTGACTGACAAGGACTCTCATCAGTGACAGGAGCCAGCTCATGCTGGCACATTACACCAGGAAAAACTGTTTTTGCTTCTATGCCTGCTAGTGAGCTCAGGCTGGGACAGGGTCAAGGGTCAGGGGTCAGCAGTAGGGCAGCCCAGAAGAGAGAAGAAAGCCGAGATGCTTACAGGTACCTGGCTGGAGAGGGCGAAGGTGCTGGCTGGGCTTTTCTTCTTGCTGTTGCTGTTGTTGGTGTTGCCACCCCCCGAGCTCATGGTGCTGCCCCCTGACATCTTTCGTTTCCGCCGTTTGCTGGGCTGCTGCCGCGCGGGCTCCGCTGTGCCAAGGAAAAGGAGACTCAGGAAGGGCAAGGCCCTGGGTCCCTTGTTCCCCATTCTGGCTCCTAAGGAGCCTGAGCCTACCCTGATCCCAATCTTGCAGACCCAAGAGTGAGAAAGGGGCTTCATGAGGAGACAGAGAGAGAGCGTTGGGGAGCTTTATCAGATCCTGGTTAGAGCAGGTGCAGGTGCAAGGCACTCACCGGGGGGTGCTACCATGCGCTGCCACTTCTGGAAAAGGCAGGTCTTGAGGCAGTCACGGGGGCTGAGGCTGTAGGTCTTGTGGCGGGACATGAGCTCCTGCATGGGCTCGAGTATCACACAGAGCTGGGGGGAGATGAGGAGGTGGCTTGTCAGGAGAGAGACATGGAGCTGACTCCAAATGGGATGGGGCAGAAACTGGGTGATCAAGGACTCACTCGGAGGTAGTTGAGAGTGGAATTGGACAACCCACACCGGGTGATATTTTTGGAGAGCTGATCCAACATCTGGGGGTCCTGGGCCTAGATGGGGAGAAAAAGACTAGAACCTGGGTTGCATCTGCTCACCTGCCCTATCACTGAGCCTCATGACACTCCAGAGAGAGAAGAGGGGCTGTTATGAAACCCATTTTTCAGATGGAGATACTCTAACCCTCTGTCTGAGGTCACTGTCAGGAAATGGCAGACCTTATTCCATCCATTCTTCCCACTGCCTGCCCTCACCCTTGCATTTTGGGTCCTGCCCACAACTCACATGCATGGCAAGGATGCTGCGGGGGATGAGCTCTCGGTGCTGCCGGATGCTGAAGTGCCACGTCTTTATCCGCATCATGTCGTCAAACATGAACTCTAGGTACAACCGGCCCTCCACACACACCTGGAGACAAGCTTGTCACATCTCTGCCCTCTCCCCACGTGCCTGAAAATATACCTGCTCTCCCGTTTGCTCACAACTCTCCCACTGAACACACTTCTGCCACTTGCACATAAATCTGGGTGCATAACTGACAAAGACCATTCCCTCATCTACCTGTCACACCCCTGGCCCTTACACACATACACACACAAAGTGGAAATGCTTTAACAGACCCTTGTCCTCTTCCCAAGTAGCTAGTGATACACTCATCTGCTATAAACTCTATGAGGGCAGGCTCTCATTCACTGGTGTGCCCCTGCAGCCCAGAAAACTGTCATGTACAAACTTAGTAAGCATCTGATGGATGTTGCACCATGCCTGCCCCTCCCTTCTGGTCTTGCCACTTCCCCTTTTGCCTCCCTAGGGAACAGCTGAGTACATTTTGGGAGAAAGGAGGGGAATCAAACCCAGGTGCTTCAGTATTCCACATCCAGCTGGGTTGCTGACCTGGGTGAACATGGGTTTGCCATGCTGCGTCACCATGCTGCCTTGGTCACAGTCAAGGGACACAAAGTTGCTGTGGAATGCCTCCTTGGGGTGCTTAAGCACATAGTACAGTTCCGTAGCACCCCCTTCAAAGATGCTGCGGAAATAGCGTGGGATCAAGGTCCGGCCAATGGCTGTAGAGATGGGACAAACTCATTAGAACAGAAGGACTTGTAAGAGGGTCAGGCAGATGCCATAACCGCCAAGACAGATCCCCGGAGACAAATACCTACTCCCAGTCCTTAGAAGGACATAGGAAGTATATGCTCTCATAGCAGAACCAGCAGGACCCCCAAAGGCCACTCACTATATCTCTTTGGTCCATCCTCCAGGCAGAAAGTGATGGTTAACATGGCATCATCCTCAAAGAACTCAGTTGTGAAAGCATCCCACCAGAGATTGTCACACTCCTAAGGAGCACAGGGAAAGGTGTTTGTGTGTGTATGTCAGAAGACATCCCAGGGGTTCCCAGATGGCCCTCCCCCTTCCCAGCCGCTTTCCCCTTGCCATACCTCTGTCCAGTTTTGAAGCCGTTTGTTAAGCTCGAATATTCTGTAGTCAGTTTGGTTGCCATATGGTGTGTGCCTCCTGGGAAAAGTGAAGAAGGGAGGTCAATAGAAAGAGGGTCTCCCCACTCCACCCCACCCCCACTTCTGCCTTCCCCCATGTAATGGAAAGCACCTCCCTCCTCACTGGACTCCACTTACCCAATCCCGGGCTCCAGATACGTAGGCGGGTACATGGGAGTTGGGCTGTGTAAGGGAAGAGGCTATGAGAATGGGAGTGGAAGACAGGAATTATTGGGGGTGTCACTCCCTCCCCCTTTCAGGCAGGATCCCATCTGGAGAAGGGATGGGAAGTAGATAAGACTCACCCCACATCCCGATCTAGCATGGTGCCGGGATGGAAAGGAGGGAAGGCGTTGCCGTTCGGGGGCTCCTTCGGCGAGTACAGCTTGAATGACTTTGAGGAACAACCTAGAAGGGAAAAAGAGAAGTGGTGCCCTGAGTCCCAGGGAGCTTTCCTGGAAGTCTACTAGATTGTGTGGAAAGGGACTGGTCTTCCAGAGAACCCAGAGTGGGTGGACTAGGGGAGGGGGACTACCCTATGGAACACCTACCTCTGCTGCTAAATCTGCCTCCAATTTTATTTTATTATGAAACTAGAAGTACTCAGCCCTAATACCCAAGACCCCATTTCTTCATGTGCTGAGCCCTGGATGATAGAATTGAAGCAGCAAAGAAATGTCAACACCATAGAATAAATGAATATCCAAACATTACAATTTAATTTTGATAAATTCCCTTTACATCCACCCAGTATTGTTCACTCATCACAACAACCTTGTGAGGTAGCAGGGTCAACTATAAAATCCCCATTTTACAGATGAGGCAACGGAAAGCTCGAGGGGACTTGCCAAGATCACAGAGGTAGCAATTGGCAGAGCTAGGACTTGAGCCCAGATCTGATTCCCATATCCTATAGTATTTCCACCCCTCTAATGCCCTCTGGAGACCAAGCTTGGGGAACGGAACCGGAACCGGGATTTTGCCAACTCCCTGCCCCTCCTCCACCCCCAGGGTCTCAGGAGGGCAGGGGATAGAAAGATAAAGGGGAGTGGGTGCCTGCTGGGTGCCTCCCACCAGATAACCAGTTGGGCCTTCTGCCTCCCCCACCAACGGCCACTCCCTTATCAGCCCAGCCCCCTCCCCCACAGCTACCATGGGTCTAGTATTGTCTCCAAACCAGAAACCCAAAGCCTCAACCTCCTCTCACTTCTGAGACTTGCAGTGGGGGAGGGAGATAGACAGGCCTCCAATGGATTCCACTCTACTTACAAACCTAGGTCTCGGAAGGAGGAAATCTAGGCTCCAGGGGGATTAGTCTAGGAGGCAAGTGGTAACTAGACAGGGGTCTCTGCTCACGTGTCTCTGTGTATGTGCACATGTGTCACCTCTCCACCTCAATGAGCAGCACACTGTTCCTGGTATACTATTTCCTGACTAGAAGTATTACATTCATAGTTGGGTACGAGCCAGGCACCCCTACAGTTCTATTTTCCCCCTCCCAACCAGATAGGAAGGGAAACTGAGACACAGCACCAAAGGTTGTAAACCCAGTCATAGGTGCTTCCTAGCCACCCCAAAACTTGTTTGCATTTGGAAGGGCAGCCATATTGGCCGTATCTAAGCCCCCTCCCCAAATTAAATACAAAATCTATTTTGTTCCTTAGGGGAAAGAGACAAAGGAAGACCCTGTGCCAACACACATCATTTAATTATCTCTCCAGGGCCCCCTCCTCACAATATGGGCAAACGGAGGGTCCCAGAGGGGCTTACACTACACAGTTCCTGAAGGTGCCAAGACTCAAAGCTTGTGTGTGCCTGCACACGCGTGTGCCTCATCCTGCCTAGCAGGCTTCCACCCTCAGCTCGTTCCAACATGCCTACCAAGAGCTGGAACCCAGCAGCCCCAGGCAGGATCAGGGTGGCTGCAACAGGCCCTTGCCCCGTTCATGCTCTCTCGCAGGCCACATCCACATGCTCCCAGCACAGCACACACAACCTTCACATGCCAGTTTGGACTGAATGAGGAGCCTGTATCCTTAGGAAAGAGACAGTGCCACCCAGCTCCAAGTCTCCCCACTCCACAGACAGGTATACTAAAGCCACATAGGAAGCCCAAACTCCCAAAGTCTACCAGAGGCTGGGTCTAGTCAATGAACCCAAGAGTCTAGATTACCAGACCTTGCCCTTGCCCCCTAAGGAAGCCATCCTTTCCCTAAAGGCATCACTGGCCCTGCCCCACAGTCTCAGGGCTATCTGAAGAAATGTCAGCTCAGGACCCTCAGAAGGGAGGAAGCACACCTGGGTTCCTCTCTGATTCTGAAAAAAGTTTCAGAGCTTCAATTTCTCTCACCAGAGACCTGACAAACATTGCCTGGGGCTGGGGAACAGCTCTGAAGAGCTAAAGCCTGAAGCTCTGAGGCCTCTATTTATACCTCCAGTGAATGGACACAAACTCAGCATCTCTCCAGAGCCATAGCAACTCCCAGTAGCCCCAGCACAAGGGCTTGGGAGTGAGAAGAGAAGGGGAGGGAACATCACCCAGACCATCTGTCCCTGTTACTGCCTGTCCCCAGCAACAGGGGTAGAGAGAGCAAGGTGGGGGTGGGGGTGAAGGGGATGTGTCATCAGCCTCGGAGTCACACATACACCCCCCCATCCCCAAGCAATCTGGGAGCCCTTAGGAGGAGGGAGAAGAGAGGAAGAGCCCAGAACTAGTAAAGTTTCTCAGGATGGAAGCTGCATCCTGGGGCTGAGGGGGGCACCTCCAGCTGAGCATTTCCATGGTAACCAGCCTGACCTGAGGGCAGGCCCCCTTCCTTTGGGGGCTGACCATAGGTCAGCAAGCCTGAGAGCCCTGGCCTCTCTGAGCTGGGGCACCTCTGCCCCAGCTAGCATACCGGGCCTGGGCCAGACCCAGGATCTTCCGCCCACCCCCAACAGGCTTGCACGGTGCCCAGACTTACCTGGGAGAACTGAGGGGGCCAAGAGAGGTGCGGGGAGCGGCTGGAAGCCCAGCGGAGCCCTGGCAGGGGTGAGGGCTGAGGGGGCCAACTTCAGCCGCTCATGTCCCAAGTGGGACAGGCAGGCCTGGCTGAGAGCTCCACTCCGCGGGCCGCACAAAGACTCGCACACACAGCCTCGGCCCGCCCCGCGGCGGCCACAGCCCCGGGGGAAAGTTACAATGGCCACTGGGCCGGGGGCTAGGGGCCAGGGGGCCGGCCTGGGGGGCGGGGGGCCGCGGGGAGTCCGGAGCCTTCTTTGTTTGCAAGGTTTCCCTCAACAATGGCTGCTCCGCTCTTTCCTCTCTCCTCCTCCTCCTCTTCGGCTCTCCCCGCCGCCGCCTCTCGCTGCCTCTGCCTCCAAGCAGCCCGCCCGCCCTCCCCAGGCCACCAGGCCCCTCCGCCAGGGCACCAGGAGAGACAGGGCCCAGCACTCACACTCACTCACACTTGCACACGCACAGACACACGCAGCGCCCGCCGGCTCCCTGCCTTTTCTCCCTTTCTAGCCCTCCCTCCCCGCTCGCTCTCCGCTCTCCGAGCCTCTCTCAGAATGAGGCCCCAGGGCGGGCGGAGGGTGGAGCTGCCCCCACTGGCCCCGCCCCCTCCCTGCGAGGAAAGAGGAAGAGGGAGAGAGAGAGGGAGGGAGGGAGAGACGGAGGCAGGCAGGGAGGACTGCTGAGAAAAACAAAAGAGAGACAGAGACCGAGAGAGATGGGAGGGAGAGATGGAGACAGAACAGATTGGGCCTGGGGAGAGACCTGGATGGAGGGGAGGTGTGTGGGGCCAGGAATTGAAATGCCCCCATCCCAGCCCCAAGCTTGGTGCTCAGGGGTGAGCAGGAGGGCTGGAGCCACTGACAGGGATGGAGAGGAGTGCTCTCTTCCCTGGAGACTCCCAGTATCTTCAAACTGCTTCCCCAATGTCCCCTAAATCTCTCTTCCTCTCCCCTGTGATCTCTGGGGTTGAAGGTTGGCCTGAGCTGCCACCCTGGGCTTCAGCCCCTGGTGAAATCCCAGAGCAGCTGGGGGAAACCTCCAAGGGGTTATTTTTGACAGAGCCACACTCTGCTTCAACCTGTAAACAGTGATTGCAGGGAGGGGGGCACCCCAGGCTCCCTGCCCTCAACCCAGCTAAGTTCCTAGCCCCCTTCCCTAACCCCCACCATAAGAGTCAGGTGGGTGCAGGGGAAAGAGGCACTGTCAGAACTGGGGAAGGCAAATTTGCCCATCCAAGGGTCCCCAGAAAGGGCCTCGTCTGCTGCTGAATCCTCCCACCATCCCAGGGGAAAAAAAAGGTATGTGGTTACTGAAGTAAAGCATGTTCTCCAATGCAAGGGGGGGAATTCCCAAGAGAGGAGGTGTTTCCAAAACTTGGGTAGTGGTCCAGGTCTACTACCCGGACACATAGGAAAAAGGAAACACACACACACACCACAGCACACAACACACGAGGGGGTGCAGCCATACAGCCTTCCTACCTCTTTGCAATTTGAGTCTCTGTTCCCTATGCCCCACCTTGCCGCGCCAACTACATTCACACAGCCCCATGACAAGGTTTCTCATGATAGACACACTGGTTGTGCAATAATATTGCATCTGACTCTGTGAACATTCTCCTCACGTAAAAAACTCATTTTACTTTTACATAAGTCAGTCCCTAATACACACTTCAACCTGCGACATACCTCAAATGCAAGATAAACCCAAACCCAGGACACACACATAGCCTATGACATACTTTGGCTTCTTTACACACTGGGACCTGTAACACATGCCCTTGGACCCCAATACACACACCCAAACTGCATTATGCCTCCAGAACCTGTGACAGACTATTATGTGCACACCCTGGCCATTTGTTACCCAGAGACTTAACCCCATAAACCACCCTCCCTGAAACCCGCACACCATTCTCCACCACATATCTAGCCATATGATATGCTCCAGCTTTCACAAACATACTGAAATCTATAACATTCAGCCAGACCCTGCAACATTCTGCCCAGAATTGAAACCACCAGGAACTGAAATATTCCACTGAGTCCCAAATTAACAGCACAACTCTAGGATGACTACACTTATCTTCCACTTACGGGACAATTCCTGTCGTTTGTTTCATGCCTTTAAACTTTCCAAAGTTCATTCGTAGGCCATACCTCAAGAGATTCTTACTGAATACAGGGCCAAATATTATGCTCACTCGAACAGATTATAGCGAGACAGGAGGGCCTGAGCTGGAACCCTGGACTTCTAACCCCACTCATACAAGCCCAGCCCTGGGGCACTACAACCATTCCTATTCCCTCCCCCCTCCAAGGAATGGCCACTCCAGGCCCCAAATGACTGTCTACACGGGAAAGAGGGATGGGCGTGTGCTCGGGCTTCTGCCCCCAGTCTAGAGCTCAGAACCCCCACTTTGTTTCCTCAAATTTCAGAAGGAAGGGCCCCTAAATACCAAGATGTATCAAGACTCTGGCACATCATTCAAAACGGGGCCCTTCTTCTGGTTCCCCTTTTCTAGCAAGGCTGCTCCTCTCTCATTTCTGACTTAATTCCCCCATTTGCACAGGAGCAGAAGAGGTACAACTAAAGAAAGCAAGTCTGAGTTAGATGGCCCTAAAATTGGTGGAGCAGGGAGGGGAGGGGATGGGGGGGGGGCAGTGGGGAGAAAGCAGAGCAGCAAAGAATAACAAAGGTGATGAAAGAGCGAAGAGGAAGAGTACCCCTCCTGGAGGTGGGAACTCTGAAGGGCAGCAGCCTGCCCCAACCCACAGGATAAGGTACCAGCACTGCCCCCTGCCCGGGCCCCTGGGGCTCCCTGACCCAGGCCTCCAGTGTGCCTGCCCCCCTTCCTTTGTCTGTGCCCGGCCTCCCGTTGGCCTGGCGCTCTGCCATCCTCCTCTCCTGGCTCCCAGCCGCCACCACTGCTGCCTCCTCCCCTCCCCCTACTCCTCCCTGCCTTAACCCTTCTGAGCCACATGCTGCCCCAGACAGGCCCTGGTCCCCTCAGCAACCTGCCATGCCTGGGTGATGCCCCTTAGCAGAGGTTCTCCCTGCTCCTGACCAAAGCTTCAGGAGCTATTACCTACCCCAGGAGCACTGTGGGAGCTGGGGGTATATATGTGTGTGTGTCTGTGTGTGTGTGTGTGTATCTTGTGGTGTTTCCTTCCGTGTGTGCATGTGTGTGGGTCTGCGTATGCTCTGGCTTCCTTCAGTCACATGTGTGGGGCATGTGCTGTCTCTGCTGGGCTGGGGGAGGAGGAGGAGCCGGGAGACAGCAGAGCACAAAGGAGAGACTCAGACAGGCAGGCAGGCAGCAGGCAGGCGGCCTGCCAGGGCGCCTCGGCCCCCACCCCAGGCCTGCTCAAGTTGGGGGGTGGATCTTTGGGCCTGTACTGTACATGCTGCCAGGATGCCCTTGTATTCAACCATGTGCTCCCACCCATCCATCCAGTCTGGTCCCCTCCCTCACTCCAACTCCTAACATTCCCCACCCCCAGGCCACTCTCAGTCCCCTCCCCATTTGGTTCTCCTTGAAGTCTAACCTCCATCCATTCTCAGTGGCATTAACCCATAAGACTTCTTCATATTAAGGAAAAAAGACCCCACTCTTAACCATCTTTTGCCCCCTCTCCTCTAGCCACGCCACCCAGACACACAAAAGGAACATGTGTTTTGAGACACTGATTGAAGCTGTCCCTCCTCACGCACATCTCTGTGCATGGGTCCTCTTCCTGTCCCCATGCTGCTCCCAAAGAAAATGAGGGAGAAACTTTATCCTTTCTCCTACTGGACCCAGGCACCCTGCCCCAACTTCAGGAACAACCTCTTATCTACCTCCAACCTGACAACCCTTCCATACCCATCTCCTACCCACCATTTGTAGGAACTAAGAATCAAAATTTAAGACTCAGGACTCTAGCTTGTTCACAGCCTTAGTTTCTGCTATGTTTATGTGTGGTAATGGAGGATGAAGGCCATGAGGAGGACTCCGAGCATGGAAGGATCTGAAGGGGTACCCAGCATAGGGCAATTATAAAGAAAATACACATACAAACATCCACACCAAGCTGGTATGAGAAGGAATGATGGTGCCAGGCAGGATTCCAGCTTGGCAAGCTCTTCCCTTTCCTCCCCTCCCCACCCTCTACAAGCAGGAGTCAGGGGTTCCCACACCCAGATACTCCAGGATCCTCAGACTCTACTAGCCCTACCTCTGGGCCCCATGCCCCTTAAACATCAGCCTCAGCAGGCACTTTAAATGTGTGCCCAGCCCAGCTTGGCCTGTGTCACATGATTTTCAAGGAAGCTTCCGCACTGGCAGCTTCCCTTGGGGACGGGGGTGTGTGTGTGTGTGTGTGTGTGTGTGTGTGTGTGTGCGTGTGCGTGCGTGTGGCAAGGGTTCAGTTGTGGAGTATGGGGCTCCCAGAGAAAAGGCATGTGGAGAAGCAAAGGATCCAAACCAGGCTAGATCCTGGGACACCTGACTTTCAGAATAAAGCTAACTCCAGCCTGGGACAAGAGGGGGTCCTGAACATAATGCAAGAACCCAGAGTCCTGAGAATGGGGATAGACAGTGTTTGGGGGCCCTCTGAAGACCACCTCTCCAGTCACATAGCCTCCCTCTTTTCTCCTGGCAGTGAGGTACAACCTTCTCCTTCCCCAGGAAAGAACTCAGACCCAGGCTGTCACTAGCAAGAGCTGGTAAACGTTTTGGGGAGATGGGGATCTGGGCCTAAGTCCTGTCCCAAGTTCTCACTTTGAGGTCAAGTACTGCTCCCCTCAACTCAATTCCCACAAACCACTTTATTTCCTAACTTGCTGGAGCTGCCACATTTCCCCCTCCCACTACGGTGGAGACGCCAGACCTGAGGGCCCAATTATCTGAGCCCCCCCCCCCCTCCCCAGAGTACCTCACGTCCCTCAGGAGGGCTAACCTTCCCTGGCAACAGGCAGGAAAATTTGGAGGGGAGCAAGATGGGCCCCAACCAATCCCTCCTCCCAAAAACAGTCCTCAGAAAGAGCCCTGAGGGGGGTATCACAGGATATGTAAAAGCGAATAGGCAGCAAGAAGGGGGGGCAACCCAAACCAGCCAATCAAAACTCTATGGTGACCTGAGGGGGGGGGTCAAAAGTCCAAACTCACTTCTGATTGGCTAACACCCTGGAATTCTGGGAATTTCAGCCCCCCAAACCCCTCCTCAATTAGCCTCCCCCACCAAAACACACACACACACACACACACACACACACACACACACACTCACACTCACACTCTCTCCCTCTCTTTCTCTCCCCCCCTCCACTAGCACCCCCTCCCCTGCCTCTATGCTGCTGCGCATTTGCAGTTGGGGAGAACCCTCCCCCGGACTAAGGCCCGCTATACCCCTCAGAGCCCCCGACCTCCGCCGTGCCATCGACGCCCCCCACACAAGTTCATGCCAAACAAGGGGTGAGGGATCTGCCGAGAGGGCTAGGGAGGGAGGGGCCGGGCGACCGCGCGCCCCACTCACCAGGACAGGCACAGCCCACTGACATCTTCACATCGCCCGCCGCTGGGGGCCCAGCCGAGTCACGGTGCCCGCCCCGCTCGGGGACAGGCCGGGCATGAGCCGCCGCCGCCGCCCGCGGCCCCGCTGCCCTCGCCGCCGGCCCGGCCCGGCCTCGGCCCGGTGCGGGCGGCCCCTGGCTGCAGCGAGGGGCCTGTCAGGCGCGGAGCAGACAGGAAGGAAGCCAGGCAGGAAGGCGAGCTGCCTCTGCGTGTGCGCGCGCGGGTGTGCGTCCCCGGAGTGTGTGTCCGTGTGTGCGCGTGTGCGTGTGCGTGTCTGTGCGCTCCCGCCGCCCTCCCCGCCGCCAACGCCGCCGCCGCTCGCCCCCCTCTCCCTCCCGCGTTCGCTCGCGCACTAGCTCTCGTAGGCGCCCGCTCTCCAGCCCCAGCCGGGCTGGGCTGGGCTTTATTAATATGCTAATTGCCTGCTAGTGGGAGGGGAGAGCCGTGTCAAAGTGACCCGGGCGAGCGCGCAGCGAGCGACGACGTGCGTGCGCCGCGCGGCAGGCGGGCGGCAAGGGGCCGGGAGCGTTCGGGGAACGGCATGCATGTGACGCAGCTTTTAAAAAAGGAGACGGAGGCAGAGACCCCAGAGGGGGAGGGCGGTGGGAGGAATGAGAGGCGAAGCCTCACACTCGGTGTCCGTCCTCCGGGTGCCTCCGAGTTGGGAGCGTAGCTGAGACGGAGCGGGAGCGGGAGCTGGGACTGGGAGAGGCGGAGCCAGGGTGGGCCTGAGGTGTAGCTCTCCCTCCACCCCGGCCACGCTCTGGGAGGGAAAAGGGACTGCCGACCCCCGCCCAAGCTCTCTGCTGAGATTACTGTCTTATTCCGGAGGGCCTTTATCATGTGCCCCCCACCCCAACCTGGGCGGGGAAAAGCACTATCCTAATTCCTGTAGCAACCCAACTCACCTCCTCCCTAAATTAACCACCCCTCCCTTGCCTGCTAAACCAGTTAGAACTAGAACCAAAAGGGTTAATTAAGTATGGTCCCCGCCCTCCCCTGCCCTAGGGCTGAGATCTGCGTTTTGCTGGGGGGAGGAGGGCAGTGGAATGACCGTCAGGTTGGTCTGGGGAGGGGGTAATCTGCAGGCCATCCTTCCCCCTTGCGGGCTCTGACTCATCAGTCAAAACGCTCTCCTCCCTTCCCCCTTTTTCCATCCAGTCTCGGCCTCCCCCAACTCCCCCTCGCATGCAAGCTTCTCTCCTTTGAGGGCCTCGAGACGAGACAACAGGAAGCAGACCCCTCCAGTGCCTCCTACCCGTAGGGGCTGCGGGGTTGGTAGGGGGTAGGAGGAAAGATGATCTGGATGGTCAATGTAAGGAACACTCCTTCCCCAGGGAGGAGCCTCCCAACCTTCAGGCACTCCTCAAGGACTCCCCAGCCCAGCCCTAGGAAGGAGAGGGGGGCGGGGAGAGCCTCCATCACCATCCCTTCCCAAAAGCCCAGCCTTAGCTGCCTCATAAACAGGAAATACCTATTAGCAGGGAAGAGGGAGGGGAAGGGAGCTGTCTGGAAGAAAGAGCTGGCCCCTCTCCCTTCTGGGGGGTCCCCAGCTGCCAGCTTAAGTTTCAAGGTTGGCTCCAAGGAGTAGACACTCTGGACCTGGGCTGGTGTCCCCTCTCTAGGGCATCTGGCCCAGACTAGGTAGGGGGTCCCCCTCCTCTTCATTACTTGGCGGGGGCGGGGGAGGGCTTGATGGCCCCCACTCCTGCCCAAAGTTTGCACAGCTGGCTTGACCAGCTGTCAAGATGTGAAGGTTTAAGTGTGAGACCCCTTCTCTCTATCATTGCTTTTGCTGAGGGAGCACGGAATGATGGACAGATGCATAGTCTGGGGATTGAAAAGACAGCCTACCCAGAGATGCTTGGACCCCCTCCATATGCTTAGGAGAAGATGGGGCAAGGGAGCTGGGAGCACAGCCACACTCTTAACTCCAGCATTCTCATCCACGCTGTGTATTCCCTTACCTCAGGGGCTGCAGGGGGACCTGACTGAAGCCATCCATACTTATACAGGTATTTTGTTTGGCAGCATCCCCTGCCTCTGTCCACTTCCTCCTCACATTCCCCCAGGCAGAGGTCGGCACTAGAAGGATTAAGGAGAACCAAAAGCAACAGAACCCATGCCTGGAATTTGGGATACCTAGATTTGTATTACAGAGCAAATGACCTGAGACAACTGACTTCCCTACTCTGAGCTCTGGCTTTAACCTCTGTAATTGGTACCTGCAGCTTGGTGAGAATCACTAGACATGTATGCCCAGTCACCTAGCCTCATGCCAGCCATGTAGTCAGTTCTCAATATATGTTAGCCCCTTCCTACTTTCCATGAGGTTATCTGTTATTTCAAGAGTGTCAATAGTGGTCTGGATTGGCTGAAGGATTAGAGCTAGTGTGGAGAAGAGGGGCTGTCTGCTATGACCCCTTTCATTCTCTACTGTCCATGAAGTTGCCTTCCCCCAATCCTGTGACCACTTACCCCTGAGGCCACTCATTCCAAACAACTAGCTTAACCAGATTCCACGGTGATCACCAATCACTTGGGTGGACAAAGGGGCTTGTAACCCACCCTATAGGGGACTTTGCCTCCTCTGAATCTGAGGTTCCCTTCTAGATTACACAATGCAAGTTGGAAGTCAAGGAAGAAGCAAAAACAGCATTTGTTGAGCATACAGTGTAACAGGCACCGTGCTAAGTTTTTCACAAACCTGAGATCTCATTTACTTTTCATAACGACCTTTGGAGGAAGATGTTATTACCTCCATTGAACGAGCAAGAAAACTGAAATTCAGATTTATAAATTTGAACTTGTCTGTAAAACACTCTTCTCCCTCTTCTTTGCCTACTAATTAATTAATGCCTCCTTTAAACCTCAGTTTCTAGCTTCACCTCCCCTGGGAAGGAACCCCTCCCACTCCCATCCCAGCTGATCTAGTGGCCCTGTTTTCTTTAAGGAAATACCATCTCAGTGCTTTTGAATGAGTGATTAAAGTAAATGGTTTAAGTCCTTGAGGAACCAAGCTTAGGTAGGTTATGTATCTTGTGCAAGGTCACACAGTCAACAAGTACTCAACCTAGTGCCCTTCCTCCTATCTTCTAGTATGGACCAGACCTGGGGAAGGAGAGAACATCTTTGGAGCAGCTTTGGGAACTGTGGTGAAGGCAAAAATAGGAAGAGAAGTTATAGCTGTGGAAGGTCTTTAATTTAATGACATGTCCTGGAGGATGGCAGGCTTAGCTGATTTGGATGGATGAATATGAGCACCTAGCTTTTTTTTTTTTTTTTTTTTTTTTTTTTTGAGGTGAAATTACATGATACAAATTAATCATTTTAAAGTGAACAATTCAGTAGCATTCCAGTGTTTTTTTAATACCAGTCATTAGTGCAAGATGAACTATAGACACAGGGGATGAAGTGAAGTAGGAGGTACTGAGGAGAGAGGTGAGGTGAGGAAAGGGGGAGAGGAGCCCCACAGAGAGACAAGCAGCAGAAGCAACTGGGTAAGCTTGTTCCCAGAGAGAGGTGGGCTTCTGCTTCTTCTGGCTCCTAGAACCTGTCCCACGCAAGTCCCTCTCCTGACCTTGACCGGTGAGAGGTAAAGGAGATGATTCATTTTCAGAAATACCAAATAAAAACTGTGCTAATTAATAGGTTTACCACCTGTTGGAAATACGTACGAAACCCCCCCCCCCCCCCCCCCCCCCCCACGATGGAGTCCCAAACCCTTAAACACTTCACTGCCTAGTTTTTCTTCCCCTCTCCATTTCCCTGGCTTATTTTCATGGGCTTTGCAATGAGCATGCGACGAAAGGAGGAGGGACTGAAAGTCTCTGTGTGACCTCAGGGAATGCACATTTGTTCCAGTCAGACTACTTTTTGCCTTACATGGGCATAGGTGACGTCTGGGTAAGGCTGTAACCACTGTAGTACTCAGCCAATGAGGAACCAGGGAAAGGACTTGCATGCTAGGAGATAAATTGTCTGCTGTAACTGCCCTGAATGTGCCTGTCCATCAGACACCCACTCGTGCAAGAATGTTGATTAAAGCCCCCCTTCACTGTGTTCTGAGTCTCTGTGTCCCTTCTTTGATTAGGTCGACGGGCTTATTTCTAACAGACCTCGGCCTACTCTATTTTCTCCCACATTTCTTTACCCCTGAAACATCCACAAATATTATTGGCATCACTCTATTTCAAGGAATTTTCTTTTTCCACTGAGATGGTAGATGATATATATCTTATTGATGACTATAGCCCTAGCATCTAAAACAGAGTGCCTAGAACCTACTATGTGTCCTATAACTTTGTTGAATGATTATAAGAATTTTGACAGGATTTACCTTTCCCTGCCCCAACATATGACTCCTTTCCCTGTTCTCCATTTACCATCATTATCACCATCACCATGTACAACCACCACTTCTTTCTCTGCCAAAGGAGTTTCTTAAAGTGTGCAAAAAACTCTCAGGAAGGGGCGCCTAGCTGCCCCAGTCATTAGAGTATACAACTCTTGATTTGGGGATTATAAGGTCAATTTGGGTGTAGAGACTACTTAAAAGTAAAATCTTAGGGCACTTGGGTGGTTCAGTCAGTTAAGCACCCAACTCTCGATTTTGGCTCAGGTCATGATCTTGAGGTTCTTGAGTTGGGGCCCTACATCAGGCTCTGTGCTTAACCACCCAGGTGCCCCTACGAGAGCCTGCATTTTAAAGAAGTTTCTCTGGTGATTCTTATGCATGCCAGTATTTGGGAATAATTTTTTTTTTTTTTCCCTAAAAGGGCCCCTGGCCTTCAGAGCATTCCCACCAAGTGGATGAAACTTATTCATTCATTTCTCTTTCCATAAGCAACTGCTTAGTACAGTGATGGAACCAATGAGCCAAAGAAAACAATAATTTGCTCACTGTGTGTCTCTATGAAAATGAATCAGCCCTTCCTTAGCCTCAATTCCTTCCTCAGTAGAAAGGGGATAGTAATCTTTGCTTTTC